CTTTCTAACGGAAGTGTTAAACTGTTTTTTTAATATATGCTGTCCTGTGATAACTTCGTTCCTTCAATATGGCAGAATATTAACACCTTTTCTTAAACATCTTCGACCTGAAAAGGAACGTGCTTTTAAATGTGGCAAGAGGGCCGAAATGCAACGACTAACGTTTCTGATCAAGAGTGAAATAAGACGGTTGGGTGCCCCTTATGCAAGTCAGCATTTGGGACGAGGAACTCTAAGTCTATGTGGCGTGGAAACAATCTACTCTGCAGGCAGAAGAAAGCGATTTCCAGTCCCTCTATTGATATTAAAAAACTGAATGCTGCATGTTTATTCTTCGCCCGACATACTCCAGTTATGTTGATTCCAGTTCTCAAACATCCAACCTTCGTTTGATTCCATCACCTCTAGTGAGATATATAAACACATGTTTTCCCTCAAAGTGTCGACCTCACCTGGTCCAGGCAACTTAAGTCCTACCCTTAAACACGATGCACTGCCTTTGTGCAGCATGGTCGATTGTACGGTAAAAGCCGGACAATATTATCTGTGGTAATCAGAATATTACTGAATGTAGGAATACAAGAACCGGTAATGTACTGCTCAGAACTGAATTGGCTCCAACCCGAACTGCGGACACCAATGAAATACACGCGAAATTGATAGCAGCAAATGCTTATGTTTATTGATGGAATAAGATTATAGAAAATAATATGATAATATGATTTGCTGAACGAGCGTCCTTCAATCACGTTACCGTTTACACCGAAGCATCACATGTACTAACACGGACGTCATGTTCGCCCGATGAGCCATTGGTTGAGCTTCCGGAACGGTCATTGGATGACATAAAACTGTTCCTGTTCCTGCAAGGATTGCGGNTGGATCACCACATGGACATTTTCCAGACATCACCTTTTATCTACAATCTGGATGTACGTTCACATTTTTACTTCAGTACCAACGGCATGTGACGTTTATTTTATATGATCGAAAACTGTGGTGTCCTTCCGCGAAGGGAGCTTTCACTTTTCCCTTTCACTCAGTCTTGCTCGTTATCGCGCTCGTTGGTTCTCCCGCCTTTGTGCTTTAACGCAAACGTTCGTTAGCCGGTACCGGTACTTTCTCCGTGCCACGGTACCTCAATAAACGTCTACAACCACAAGTATTCTATTTAACCAGCTGTAACTTGGTTGTGTTGCGATCTTGGGATTCCCGTAATGATGCGCGTCACGCTTGGTCGTAGTCGACGTCTCTTCATCTGTCTCAGAGTTTTGCACACAGCCAATCTTTCACTCGAAATTCTAACTATTCCGAACTGCTGTCGCCCAGTGGGAATAACTCTTGTACCAATGAAACGTTATAAGCCCCAATAGCGAAGCTTTGATTGAGCGATCAGTTCTGCATCGTCTACATTTATCCCTTAACAACCCCGGTGACACTTATCAGTTTGCATACAAACATAACCGCTCTGCATTAGATGCCGTTTCTTCTCTACTTCCTTTCATCTCTAAGTCCCTTAACGAGAAATCCAAATATGTACATTGTGCATTTCATGACTACTCTTCCGCTTTCAACTGGTTACCCG